AAAAAAAAAAAAAAAGTGGAGGAAGAATATAGGGGGGGGGGGGGGGGGGGGGGGATTGAGCAAGATACAGCCGCCACTATAAATCCTATGTGGGGGGGGTGGACAGATCACAGCAGATAGAAGTGGACAAACTGGTCAATCAGTTCAAACTGAAAATCAATATGGAAAAAACATTCAAAACCCATTCTGCTTCCATAATCTGAAATATTTCTAAATAAAACACAATTGAAAATAAGAGGGATTCAGCTGAAAAGGAAAGTAGATCAGAAGCAGAGCTTGTTATTACATTTCACTGAAGAATTCGGTCAAGCATTTTTTATTTTGGCATAACATACATTGATGAATTGTGCACAATAAAACCAGGAACATGTATTAAGAAGATAAATTCTAATTTCATAGGTTCCCTACTTCTCTACTTTAACTAGGTTGGCAGTGATGGTCTCACAAACTGACCTTAGCCCCACCAGCTGCTAAACTAGCTATGAATTAAACTAATTTCAGATGGATATTTCAGCAGTGTAGAACAGATTGATAATTTAATTGTTACAGCCTTGATGTGACACTCCACACTGGAATTATTAATTACTTTAATCAGATACAGCAATCAAAAAATGCATATATATATCTATAGAACACTACTACTAGATATTATATACGTGTTCAGAAGATACTATTTGATGATATTTGCATCACACTGTGAATACACATTTTATTAAAAAAATATATATATTGTATATCGGACTCATGTTCCACTCCATGGAAACAGAAGTGTTCTGTACTTTCACCAGTGCAGCAAAGTGTTCCTCTGAAAAAAGTTGATGCTTTTGTTGTGCTCACACCAGATGGACTGTGTCAAGGAGTGCAGAGAAGATGAGTTTCTGTGCAAAAACCATGCTCACTGCATCCCTAAACGATGGCGCTGCGATGATGTGTTCGATTGCGTGGATCACAGCGATGAGGAGAACTGTAGTCATGGTATGAAGATGATTTATAATACATTTACTACCCAGCAATTACACTCATGTTGATGTACAGTGGGGCAAAAAAGTATTTAGTCAGCCACCAATTGTGCAAGTTCTCCCACTTAAAAAGATGAGAGAGGCCTGTAATTTTCATCATAGGTATACCTCAACTATGAGAGACAAAATGAGAAAAAAAAATCCAGAAAATCACATTGTAGGATTTTTAAAGAATTAATTGGTAAATTCCTCGGTAAAATAAGTATTTGGTCACCTACAAACAAGCAAGATTTCTGGCTCTCACAGACCTGTAACTTCTTCTTTAAGAGGCTCCTCTGTCCTCCACTCGTTACCTGTATTAATGGCATCTGTTTGAACTCGTTATCAGTATAAAAGACACCTGTCCACAACCTCAAACAGTCACACTCCAAACTCCACCATGGCCAAGACCAAAGAGCTGTCAAAGGACACCAGAAACAAAATTGTAGACCTGCACCAGGCTGGGAAGACTGAATCTGCAATAGGTAAACAGCTTGGTGTGAAGAAATCAACTGTGGGAGCAATTATTAGAAAATGGAAGACATACAAGACCACTGATAATCTCCCTCGATCTGGGGCTCCACACAAGATCTCACCCCGTGGGGTCAAAATGATCACAAGAACTGTGAGCAAAAATCCCAGAACCACACGGAGGGACCTAGTGAATGACCTGCAGAGAGCTGGGACCAAAGTAACAAAGGCTACCATCAGTAACACACTGCGCCGCCAGGGACTCAAATCCTGCAGTGACAGACGTGTCCCCCTGCTTAAGCCAGTACATGTCCAGGCCCATCTGAAGTTTGCTAGAGAGCATTTGGATGACCCAGAAGAGGATTGGGAGAATGTCATATGATCAGATGAAACCAAAATAGAACTTTTTGGTAAAAACTCAACTTGAGGAGAAAGAATGCTGAGTTGCATCCAAAGAACACCATACCTACTGTGAAGCATGGGGGTGGAAACATCATGCTTTGGGGCTGTTTTTCTGCAAAGAGACCAGGACGACTGATCCGTGTAAACAAAAGAATGAATGGGGCCATGTATCGTGAGATTGAGTGAAAACCTCCTTCCATCAGCAAGGGCACTGAAGATGAAACGTGGCTGGGTCTTTCAGCATGACAATGATCCCAAACACACCACCCGGGCAACGAAGGAGAGGCTTCGTAAGAAGCATTTCAAGGTCCTGGAGTGGCCTAGCCAGTCTCCAGATCTCAACCCCATAGAAAATCTTTGGAGGGAGTTGAAAATCCGTGTTGCCCAGCGACAGCCCCAAAACATTACTGCTCTAGAGGAGATCTGCATGGAGGAATGGGCCAAAATACCAGCAACAGTGTGTGAAAACCTTGTGAAGACTTACAGAAAAAGTTTGACCTCTGTCATTGCCAACAAAGGGTATATAACAAAGTATTGAGATGAAATTTTGTTATTGACCAAATACTTATTTTCCACCATAATTTGCAAATAAATTCTTTAAAAATCCTACAATGTGATTTTCTGGATTTTTTTTTCTCATTTTGTCTCTCATAGTTTAGGTATACCTATGATGAAAATTACAGGCCTCTCTCATCTTTTTAAGTGGGAGAACTTGCACAATTGGTGGCTGACTAAATACTTTTTTTCCCCACTGTATAACTTTGATACTAGTGAATTAATATATCTTTTCTGAGGCAGTTTTCATAGTTTTGACACCCAGCAATGTTTGTGAGTGAGTGAGTGCCATGTATGGTAACCATACTCAGAATTTGTGCTCTGCATTTAACCCATGTGCACACACACTCCGTGAACACACACCCGGAGCAGTGGGCAGCCATATTGCTGAGGCGCCCGGGGAGCAGTTGGGGGTTCGGTGTCTTGCTCAAGGGTCTCACCTCAGTCATGGGTATTGAAAGTAAAAGAGAGTGCTGGTCATTCACTCCCCCCACCGACAATCCCTGCCGGTACTGAGACTCGAACCCACGAACTTTGGGTTATAAGTCTGACTCTCTAAACATTAGGCCACGATTGCCCCATGTATATACACGTTATGTATGTGTTCGTTCGGGTTGTCATAAACATCTTTAATTCAGCAAAATATCCATGTGTTGCAGTTTAAAACCACTTTGATGTTGTTTATTCAGATGCTTTCTTCTGTCGCCCCGATGAGTTCATCTGCAACAACACCCTGTGTAAGCTGCATGTGTGGGTGTGCGATGGTGAGGACGACTGCGGAGACAACTCTGATGAAGACCCCGAGATGTGCGGTAGGATATTCATCTCTCCCAGTGGAATTACATTGTGTTGCTTGGCGAAACCCTTTAATTTGAGTTTTCTGATATTAAACTCTGTCTATATGTAGGGGTCACTGACTGAATTACAAATGAAATACACTATATGACCAAAAGTACATCACTTATACTAGTGGTGTCAGGTTCCAACATAAGGGTCATTGTCAAAATATTTATATATTAGAATGATTTCTGAAGGATTATGTGACACTGAAGACTGGAGTAATGATGCTGAAAATTCAGCTTTGCATAACAGGAACAAATTAGATTTTAAAATCAAATAGAAAGTAGTTATTTAAAATTTTAATAATATTTCACAATATTAATGTTTTTACTATTTGTTTGTTTTTTGATCGAATAAATGTAGCCTTGGTGTGCATAAGAGACTTCATTAAAAACATTTAAAAATCTTTTGACAAGTACTGTATATATTATATTATTATAATGTATATATGTGTGTGTGTGTGTGTGTGTGTGTGTGTAAGATAGACATATAAAAGAGTCAATAGCATTACAAAGCAGAAAAAATCTGCACACACTGTAACTTTTTATTCTAATTTCTATAGCCAAACTACCTTGTTCTCCAGCAAGGCTGTATCGCTGCAGAAATGACAGAGTGTGTCTACGACTTGATCAAATCTGTAACAATGTGGATAACTGTGGGGACAACTCAGATGAAGATGAATGCGGTAGGCTCATTCACAAGTCTCTGATGATACCTTTATCCTCATCAGCACAATGGGAAATCCATCTTTGGTGCTATACTTCTTTCTTTTCTTTTTTTGACAAACAAAGGATCCAGTCTAGATTTTAGTGATTGTATTGTTTTGCTAGCAGTTCCTGAGGTCATTTGGATACATAGTGCTCATTAATCACTTGCATGATCACAGTAAATTTGATTGAAGACACTTTGGATGGTGATGAATAAGATGCCAGCTGAAGGTTGGATTGAAATGGATGTTTTTTTTTCTTCTTTCCCATGGGGCCCAAATCAGAGGCTGTGTCAACTATGCCCAAGCCATGTGGGAAGGCAGAGTTTACCTGTAGTAATCGTAAATGTATACCTACACAACTGCAGTGCGACCTGTTTGATGACTGTGGAGATGGAGGATCAGATGAACAGGACTGCAAGGCTTGTACGTGTTTTGGGGCTACCCAAATTACATGTGATACCAAATCTCTCAAATTAATCTGTCGCAAAACAAGCAATATTGCCAGATTAAAGGCATCCTTGGTGGTTTACATGGAAATGCGTTGTACATCTGGAATTATTCAGGCTTATCTTCCAGATGATTTTTTTTCTTGTACCTTTTTTTTTTTTTTTTGCCTATGACCAAGCATCAAAAGACAAAAAAAATCTTATCATGCACTGTGACAGTTGGGTGCAAGTATAAAAGTATGTCACTTCAAAGCTCTCTCTTTCATTCCAGCTTCAAATGGAGACATATGTGGAAAGAGGATGAATCCATGTGGGGAGGATGCAGTGTGCAATCATACAAACACAAATGCAATTTGCCACTGCAAACCTGGCTTTCAGAGAAATCTCAGAAGCAGAAAGTGTGAAGGTACTTTCAGACTATCTTCCCTGATTCTGTTAGCATTCAGAAAAATTATTCACTGCTTTATCTGAGGGGGACTGGGGATTTAGATTTTCAATTTAAAGGTGAAAGTGTACAATTTCTGCAACACCAGTGGCACCCAACAGAATTTGCAATCTGTGTGCAGAACAACATTAGCTCAACAAGGTTTAGAAATTAATAAGTTCAAAATTCCCCATAACAATTATAACGGTGGGACAAGAATCCTCTGTAATGAATTCCTGTGTTTTTGATATATCTTATATATCATTGTGATATGATTATTAATATTTTGTTATTTTAATGAATTTATTTAAGCAAAATAATATATATTCTCTAAAAACAGTAAATATACCTACTAAAAATCAAATATCTCTGACATTGGGCCATGGACATTGTACAAACTTGGGTCAAACATGGTAGATAAATAGTCATTATTTTGTCAGTTCTGTTTGCTAGTGGTGCAGAAATTGTACACTTTAGTTTCCAAGCTTTTGCTATGAATCCTGTCCTGTCAATCATTTTATCATTTTAAGGTTTTCACACATTTTTTGAGATTCAAAATGCCTGTTCTTTTCGTCAAGCGTTTGTACACTTGTCTACAGCTGTTTAGAAATAGTTAGATTTTTTAGAAATAGTTAGAAGTTAAGCTTAAGATCCTGAAAATCCTTAACCTACTGAAAATGTTTTGCATTTAAATGTACATTTCCAGTAAAGGGATTGTGCACTCACATATAGTGTTTTTTTTTTCTTTTTCTGGGAATTAAGATCAATGAGATGCAGTGAGCTGACCACATCAGATGTTTTATTTTCAAGCACTCAGCATGTGGAAAAAAAACAAAAAACTCATGCACTCATAAACATCACATCATTTCCAGAAAGCGCTATTCCTCAATTCCTTTTGTTCTTCTCTTTTTTACAGAAATCAATGAGTGTCTTAATTTTGGCACTTGCTCTCACTATTGCACAAACACAAAAGGATCGTACAAATGTACATGTGACAAAAATTATAAGGATATGAATGGAAGCTGCATAGCAAAAGGTAAGGATCTATATTTTCTATTGACTTGGCCTTTGGCTTCACTGTGAGACTTTATTTTAGACTTGAATGTTTTAGTAGATCTTTTCATACATTAGCTCTGCACACAGGGCCTAGATATACATTTTAAGCCATTTAAAACAGGAGCAGTAATTATGTGGTACATTTATATTTATGAATGTTTTAAGAACTATACAGTATATTGTCTTCCTTTAAAGTGTTGAGTTTTAATTACTGATTGATTAAAATGCATATTGCTGTGTTAGAATGATTTATCTGCATCTGTAATTATCAAACTGTTGTCTTAAACCCTAAATGGAATTTAGCCACTTTTCATTTTTTTTGCATATTAATAACTCAACGGGCAGGACCAGAAGATCGAGTGCTCTACATAGCTAATGACACTGAAATCCGAAGTTTTGTGTATCCATTTAACCAGAGCCATGGACACAAAGTACATGCTCGCATCGAGGAAAATGCCCGCATCATTGGGATGGATGCTCTGTATCACCAACAAAAGTTTATCTGGGCTACTCAGTTTAATCCTGGTGGACTTTTTTACAAAGATATCCTAAACAGGAGTCAGACTAAAACAAATGTTGGCATCATAGTAAGTATTGTGGGTCTTGTGTGAAGTCTATCATCATATTTTCTCAGGAATATTCTGGATTTTTTTTTTTTTTTTGTATCTTTCCTTATTGGTATAAGAGATTTCAGACAAGAAGTATATCATATGTTGATATTCTCTGTGATTAGTATTAGTAGTTTGTTTGTATTAAATATTTAAACAAAATAATATTTTTTTCTACAAACTTCAATCGTATTTTATCCCTATATCCAAAAAATGGTCTCTGAAATTTTGACCATAATAATTTCTCCTAAACATGTTATCGTACAATCCTAAATATTCTGTGATGTCTTGGCCCACATGGGAATCATCTTGTTATCTGGGTGACTTTTGCAGTGCCCAGACTTTCGCAGACCCAGAGATGTATCAGCTGATTGGGTGACTGGAAATATCTATTGGACAGACCACTCTAGGATGCACTGGTTCAGTTATTACACAGCTCACTGGACCAAGCTTAGATACTCTATTAATGTGGGACAACTCAAGGGACCCAACTGCACCCGTCTGATAACTGACATTGCAGGAGAGCCTTACGCCATTACTGTCAATCCAGTCAAAGGGTAGGAGCATGTTTTCATACTATTTGGGTTATTTTTAAATTCATGTAGTGGGTTTCAAAAGTCTAAATGTACATTGAAAATATGAAATTCAAAATCGCATTTAATGTAAAAAATATGTAGGATTCTGAATTACTTATAGCTCACTTATCAAATAAGCACATTTGTTACATTGGCTGTACTGTATACAAACTGGAAAACTGAGTATGAGAAGTAAAATTATCTTGAGCAATTGTTTAGTAGTTTAATTGAGGATATTCATTTTGTTGATAGTAATTCTTTATAATATTAACTTTTTATATATGTATTTATCAAGTAAAGATTTGCCCTGTTTCAGGATGATGTATTGGTCAGTAATAGGCGACCACTCACACATAGAGGAGAGTGCGATGGATGGCTCCATGCGTAGAGTGCTACTGGATAAGAACCTTAGGAGACCCACAGGTATGTTTTTGTATTTCTCAGTGTGATGGGCATGAGCTCTTTCCTTTGAGTCCACAGCTGTTTTTCTGCGAGTGTGATAAATAAGAGGTTGTTGTTTTGGCTCTTTCTAAAGGAACAAGGTCAAGGTCTGAATGCATTTATGTTGAAGCTTGTTGGTCTCATATCCCGTTTCGGTATATCACAGCATTTTTCTCATTTCCGAGTTTGCGGGAATGTTTTAGATGCAATGACTTTAGGTAAACCTGCAGGCGTGTTCCTCAGGGAAACAATAAGTACCGCTACATTTAACCATGGCCTCCTTTATAGGGGCCAATATTACGCCTCCAGTGCAGCTTTAGGAATCCATCATCTCTAGAAAAGGAACAAAAATGCAACATCCAAGTCTTTAATCAAGAGAGGAAATATAATGAGTCGAGCAAGGCAAACGCCGAGAAATATGGGACAAACTTTTGCTGAGTTTATTTCCGGAAGAGCAAAAGGACACAGATCTGAAGCTTTTGTGCTGAATATGTCCACATTGAAGCAAAGGTTTCTTAAAGGTTATTTAATTATATAAAAAGTTCAATTTAGCACCACATTGACCTAAACATACCAGCTTGATGCTATTTAAACCATTTTGCAGTTCTGCCACAGTCTCACATGACTAAGATTAATGAAACGTACATGTCTAGATTCATTTATTTTGATAAACATTTTACTTTTCATGGATTGCTGTTGCTTTTGTATAATGCTTCAGTAGTGTAAACCCTGCAAACATGGCTGTGTCCATGTTTAAATTTGTGAAGTTTCATGACATTTTGTGCCAAGGTCTTATTATTACGAAAATAACTCTCTTCCCGTCATTTATCTGTAGGGTTGGCGATTGATTATTTCAGCCAGCGTGTGTATTGGGCCGATGCCGAGCTCTCTGTCATTGGCAGTGTCCGTTTCGATGGCTCAGACCCATTGTTGGTAATCGATGGCAAACAAGGTGAGAAGAGCAGTTAAAAGGGAATCTGATAGTATTTTACTTTGTTCATGTATCTTATATGCCTGAAATCGTTAACCATCGAAATTGTTTAGAAGGTTTGTCTAATGTCTTTGCCTCACTTCATGCCTGCACAGGAATATCACAGCCGTACAGAATAGATATTTTTGAGGATTACATTTATGGAACAGGACTGAAAAATGAAGTTTTCAAAATTCAGAAATATGGCAAAAAACCTATTGAACCTCTTGACTTGGGTATTGAAAAAACAACAAATGTCCTGATATCTCATCGTTTCAAGCAGCAGGATGGTAAGATAACACTTGTTCTCTAAATGTTTTCTATTTAGTGCTTTTCCTTTTTTTTGTATAACTTGGAGAGTGAAGATATAGTTCTTTTAGGGGTTATTTTTGTGGATCCTAAGAGATTTTTCTTATAGATTCAGGCTTGCTGCTTCTACCGGGTTTTTGAAAGATAGTTATTTTGCAAAGTTTTGAAGGTCAGAGTGATATCCTTCAGTAGTTGCATACACAGTATTTTGAGAATGTTATCATCTCCTGTTCTTACGTCTAAACTGAAAGCAATAATCCAAGTTCAGCTGACTGTAAACCACCAGCATTGTTGTATTTACACAACTACAGTCTCTTAGGGGGAAAAAACACTTTTTTTTTATTTACCCGAGGTGAACGTGGTTTCTTCATTAGTGTTTTGTTCAACTCTTTAAAAATGAGTATGCCTCAATAGTTATGTAACACCCATTTAATTTTCCTCCCCATGCATTGCATTTGTGACCGCCACATGCGTCGGCTCTCTAATACACTGTCTTCTCAGAAGCTGGCCTCCTCTGCTGTTAGTTTTGGTTGCTATTTGTTATCTGGTTGTGTTAATGGCTTCACAACCTCAAAAAGATCTTTCTTTTCTGGTGGGTTTGTAGTGAGGGGCAGCTGAGCCAGTCCCCACTGACTCATTAAAGTCAGAGATCTAGCCTGGTGGAGAGACTTGTGCACTGCCAGCAAAAGCTAAAAGTTTAGGTTTGATGTCCTCAGCAAAACACTGAAGACTGATACAGATGTTCCCTCATTCTGCTGGCATCTTTGAGCCACAGCTTTCAGAATCTGCAACTTTTGAGCCGCCAGTTCGATGAGTGGCTTTGAGAAATTAAATAAATAAACTGAAAATGTTTTAGATGGCACTTTCCACAAATATGGTACAAAATAGGGCCTGAAACCGAAAAAGGGCCTGACATTTTTTTATTTATTTTTTCTAAAAATGGTAATGGAAGGGTGTTCTAACATTTAGAATGTGTTGACGCTCAACCTCAATATTAAAGTTAATATTATATTCGGTTTCATTTTGTAGGTTTCAAGGTTTTCAACTAAAATTTAGGACCAAAAAAAATATTTTTTTCATTTCATTATAAGGTCCTAGCAATAAACATTTAAAAGGAAAAAAATCCTAAATTTCTCAGAGGCTGTTTTTTTTTTTTATGATGGAAAATGGTGCGGTAACAGGATTGAGTTAAATAAGAAACAACAAATATTGTTTTAATGTAATTAAAATATATTCTTATTATTTTAATTATATTAAAATAACTATTGTTATTAAGTGTTTAATTATAATTATTATAAATTTCAGCATAGATTTATCTAAACATTATTGTACATTCCAAGTTCAATTTATGTTTTATCTGTTTTGTATTCAGTGGCCAATCCCTGTCTACGGATGACCTGTGATTTTATGTGCTTGCTCAATCCTACCGGAGCCAGCTGCACCTGTCCAGAGGGGAAGACCTTGGTCAATGGCTCTTGTATTGACCCCATTGTCTCAGGTCTGAAGGCTCACTTTACTGTAGGGCTGCCCACTTTGCTTTGTTCTTTCCTATGCCCGCTGGGTTTTTTTTTCTTTGTTTGTTTTTGTATCATTTTGTTGGGTACTACTGTTGAATTAATTTATGTCTATATTGTAAAGGTGAATTGTGCCGACCTGCCTGTGAGAATGGAGGACGTTGCATGGCCAATGAAAAAGGAGACTGGCGCTGTTACTGCTGGCCTAATTTCTCTGGGGAACGTTGTGAAGTCAACCACTGTACAGATTACTGCTTAAACGGAGGCACATGCACTGGCTCACCTCTTGGTAAGAAACTCTCAAACAGCTTTATGTAGATTTCAATACACGACTGAATTGTTTGCCTCAGTTTGAGTAGTCAAACTACATGCATACTAGGCTATATGCAACTACCGTGAAATGTTGAATGCTCGGCAGTTTGATTAGGAGTTCTTCTAAATTAATATTTTAAAGACATCTGTAAACAAAATTGTGTAGCAGTGTGTGTGCTTGTAATAACAGTTATAATCTAAAGTTATCCAAGGCAGCGTATGGACGCTTGGTATGTATGCTAATGTGCAATTGATCCGTTTTAATAAAGAATTCATTTGAAATTGAGCACTTTGGTCCCAAATGTAGAAACTTACAAAGGATTGCTGATCACAATCAGTTGAGTGTTTGTGTCTGCGCCTCAATTAAAATTAGTCAAGAGTGTCATATTACAGCTTAATCTATCATAATCAATCAAGGACACGTTGAATGCGTGTGCCCGCCTCGCTATGAAGGGGTCAAGTGTGATGTCGACAAGTGCCTGCGGTGCCATGGAGCACCATGTATCATCAATAGAGATACAGAAGATGTGGCTTGCAAGTTAGTTGTTGTTGTTTTTTAATATCTCTGAAAATGATGTGATGAATTTTAATATTCCAAACATGTTTAAATACAGTTATTATCTTTACAGTTCCGTTTGGTGATTGTATTGGCATACTGTAGGAATTACACGATTCGCCTTTAAAAATCATTCCTCATCTAAAGCAAATTAAGTACAGAATTGATGTTGTGCCATTATAATTCTATTCAGGATAATAAAGTTCCAGCAACTGCAGTGACATTCAAGTAGCTCATAATGATACAAAGCCTAATGTTATTTATTATTTAAGTTCTGTAGCGTCTGGACCACTCAAACACACAATATACAGTGGGGAAAAAAAGTATTTAGTCAGCCACTGACTAAATACACTACTATTTGAAAGTTAGGGGTCAAATTTTTTTTTTCTGAAAGAGGTCTTATTTGCTCACCAAAACTGCATTTATTTGATCAGAAATACAATAAAACCGTAATATTGTGACATATTGCATAAGGGATAATATACATCCAGCCGTTGTTTTCACAACAGGGTGATCAGGACCCCGACGCGAATCTTTGATGATTAGAAAGTTGACAAGAACAGCAGTTATTTGAAATAGTGAAGACATTCATAATGTTACATAAGATTGTCACTTATGATCAATTTATTGTGTTCAAGCTGAATAAAAAAAATACTCACCCCAAAGTTATGAACAGTATTGTATAATTGTGTATAATATCTTTAATTAATAATCAGAATTACTAAACATAGCTGAAATTGCTGAACGCATAAAGTGTGTTGATTTGTGTCTGAGCTTTAACTCATATCTCGAGTGTGAGGAAACATTTGCACAAATCACATAAAAGGTCCTCTTTGTGTCGGAAGTTAGATTAATACTGAAATTTGAATGAATTTTTTTTGAGCTGTCATCACTGGACAGTTTTTTTGTTTTTTGGGGGGGCTATTTCAATACCACAGTTTCTCATGTATTTATGCTTGGCTTTACAGGGACCCACATTTACATTTTTTTCTAACATTTTGTATTTTGTATTTATTTATCATCTTTTTTATTAACATTTTATTTTTAAAAAAGTGTGTGTATATATATATATATATATATTTGTTTGTTTGTTTATTCTACATCACAATATATAATAAATTCTGAATTTAGAATTACTTCAGAATTCATTAAAATCAATTATAAACATCTAGTTAGCTCTGAAAAGCAGTGATTTACAGTGTTGCATCTAGCATATAATATACACTGAATAAGCTGCAGCCTAATGCAAAACTAAATCACTCCCATTATAATCAACGAATTGATTGTGGGATGTTATGCACTTCTGTGCACTCATAATTTTCCACAATCATTTTTAATTGCAAATGCCAGTAAAAAGCCCATACTGTTAAGCCCTGCTTTAAAGAAACTCGGTGGGTCATACGTTCCTGTTTTCTTTATTAATTGTTAATGATTAACAATTATTTGATTAACTGTTTCTTGTTGGTGATTTCACATACTGTTTGCACCTCCTGACCATCTTGTCCTATGCAAGATGTTTACAGTTATCAATCTTTTCCTTCCCATCAGATTTTATTAGCTGCAAACACAGATTGTGACAGAAGGCATATATAACGGATGCTTTCTGAAGCGTGGTGGTTAGCAAGCATTAAATTATCACCAGTTTTATTCAGTCTCCAAACTTAAACGGGTTGTAAATGGTTGTTTTGAAAATCGTCAAATGTTCTGTACAGTTTATATGGCATTTGTGGCAATGACTGGCATAATCGAAAGAATGGAATCAATTTCTATGCAAATGATCTCTTAGTTTTTTTCTTATTGTGAGGTCCCGATAATGTGTTTCATTCACTGCCTCTGAGTCACAGGAAATGTATGGAATGATGGATCTGTATCTGCCAAGAAGTCCTGATAGTTGACCTGAAATTAATATAATGTAAATGAATTCCTTATCAAAGCCTAGAGTCATATATTCTTGGGAAGGCAAAGTTCTTTCCTTCAAAGCACAGTTATTTACTTTCACGATGCTCAGACAACTTGACAAGAAGGAAACATAACAAAGCATGTTCCAAAACAGAATAATCTCCAGAATGCAAACAGATCACCAATTAAGTTGTCTGCCAATGATTTCTTATAAAATGATATATAATTACATATAAAACAAAATTATTTTATGAGAAATAATATAGAGAAGATGGTCAGGAGGTGCAGAGTATAGGAAATCATTAACATTAACATTTCTCTATAACAATTTATTGGGGTCTACACTGAACAAAATGGCATTATTTTAAAGACCATTTTGACTTTTGATAGATTTCTTTCTTTTACAAGGTATTGTTTCTGCCAACTTGAAAATTCACAACACGTTTACAATTGTATCGCTTTCCCCGCTAGATATCTGCAATTAACTCAAGATTCAGCGTCAAAACCTGAGATTGGCTCAGGCACAGACTTCACTTCTCTATCGCTTTTCTACGGCTCACTCTCCGTTCCAGTGAAATCACAAAATAAAATGCAACTGGATGTGTTATACATACTCTGACAGTTTGGATTGTTTTATAAGAAAGCAGCAGTCAACAAGATTTCAATATGCAGCCCCATGATCTGAAACTCCTGAATCATTAGGGGTCTCACAGTTATGAAAAATCTGGAAGGATCAGGGAATTTTGAGTCATTATACAGTCATGGAAATGAGTAAAATACTAGAAATTCATTGAAATTTCTTTATGCGTGAATATGCTCAGCTCCTTGCTCATATATAGAGAAAGTGTGATAATATCAGTCTATTTATTTTATTTATCCTTTATTTTTCAAGGAAGGTTCGCTTGAGATAAGAAATATCTTCTTCCAGGGAGTCCTGGCCAGCAATCTTTGTAAAATGATTTCTAAAAAAACATGAACAGATCATTGAAAAGTCATGGGTGAAAAAGTGTTGAACCCTGAATACTAGAATCCCTGGAGTGAATATAATTTCATGGTCATAAAACATGAAGGATCCTGAAACTATAAGCAAGACACTTGCTGCTCCTCTACAGATCATGCACATGACATAATTGTATTATTGTTGAACTATTCCTAGATTTTAGGCCTGTGTCTGTTTAAGCTGTTAGCTGTTTGATCTCTTTTCTGACTTGCCTTCTGTTTGTTTTGACGGTTGTTTTAAATCAGATGCTCAGCTAATTGGTCAGGGACGCAGTGCGAGAGGCCGGCCCCCAAGAGCAGCCGCTCCGATAACACAGCTGGAGGTGAGCAATGAAGAGAGCTTTCAAGCTTTATAAAGAGCTCTCCTCTACTAATTCAATAAGGATTCAGTCCTTGAATTATTAAAATGAAAAGATCCGTTATTTCATCAGTCAAACGACACATCTGAATATACATCTGGGCTTCGTGTTAAATATTGGTTTAATATCTTTTCAGCTGCAGTAGTGTTTATTTAATTTTGCTTTGATGGAGTATCTAATAATTTCCTGTTCCACCTGCATAGACACCTGGGGAAATAGACTTAATAGTGGCATTTGCTTCTGGCTTTTTCTTGTGTGAAACAGGAAGTATAGCTATCATTGTGCCGTTGGTCCTGCTGGTCATTCTGATTACTACAGTGGTTGCAGGTGTCTTTATCTGCAGAAGACGACAAAGGTACTTTTTTGTTGCAACAATTTACAGCGTTAAAGGGGTGTCAATCTATTAATTTGTAATTGTATTAGCCCTGTAAAATCTGACATGAAATATGAGTTATAAAAACTTTTTTTGTTTTTTTTTAAATATATACATATAATGTGTATAGCAATTATATATATATATATATATATATGTGTGTATGTGTGTGTGTGTGTATTACATATATAATCAATACTATATCTGTAGTATTGATTTATTTAATTTAGTGTATTTGATACATCATACTTTTATGTTAATTTGTTAATGACAAAACATTTTTAATTAATTAAAAAAAAAATTCCTTTTTATTTTTTTTTATTTAACAATTAATCTTTTCATTTAGCTCTATGGTAGTCAAGAACATGGCATATATTATATTATTATGGCAGACGAAAGTATTAAATGGACAAAATAAACAAAAAAAAAATAAACGCTGGATATATACGCATTCAGACATGCATTTTTTTCTGTTGCATCGCGCCTTGCTATTTTTTAGCCTGATGTGCCTTTCAGTGTCATTGTAATCATCTTAATTTGACATCCCTAGTAATAAGCCACTTTGTATTTTGAATGCATGTTCAAAAATGCACAGCACATAAAAACAACAGACATCTGCAGCTATTTGAAGTGCTTCTCTGTCGCAGGGGGAAACGTGTACAACGGCAGCCCATAACTAATGGAGGCATTAATGTGGAGATAGGCAATCCATCCTACAACATGTATGAGGTGGACCATGACAACCACGCAGATGCCGGAAGCCTTCTCAAACCAAATTTCACACTTGATCCCCACAAGGTTTGTGTTTGCCATTTTTTAACACCCTTAATACAAGAAATCTCTGAGGTTGATGATGTAGATCCATAAATATCAATGTGGTAGATCCAGAAAGAGCATGTTTCTGTTCTCTCCTGTAAAATATCTGTTGAATAAATGACGAGTGTAAATATGTAATATTACCTATAGCTTTACACCAGGGCTTTTATCTTTTGCCTGAATCCTCCCACCCAATGAAAATTATTCACTGTTCCTGCGGTTGCTTTTACCTTGAGAATTTGCCTCATTAAAGCTGCAAACATTAATTTGTTTTACCCTTGCACCGAAATAACTCTGACATCTGTTTCTAAAGTCTCATGCCTCTTAAAAGCAATGCTATAATGCTATACTGCTTTCTACTGACTGTTTGTTTCATGCTATGTACGTGTTTCTGTCTAAATCTGTCTTAATAGCAGTGTTTACATTGATGTTGTTTAGTGACAATGACATTCTAAATGTCGACTGCATGCTGGGACAACTGTGTGTGTTCCAGGGCTGGTGTGTAAAATCCAGTGACCCTTGCACGCTGAATATTCACTCTGTCCCTAAGGAAGTAATACCTGGACAGGTGATCGCCTTGGGCTCCTTTGTCTCAATTTTTTGACTTAAGTGTCACGTGTAACAAAGTCATTCTCAATTATATTTTTGCATGCACGTGCCGTGTGCGGTTCGCATGAATGTGTCAAAGCGTGTCGCCGTGATAGTATGTGCATGGCTTTACGGCTCAACTTCTGCTGCGTTTTTTTATGTTTCTCATTTTTTTGTGATTGATTTATGCAGGAGGTGAGGTTGATGGGGTTGTGAGTGACAGTTACGAAATATTTATCATCCTTTACTGACATCAGCATGTCATGATAAGCATGATTAAATAGCACCAATCCAAATGATGATACAGAAACCACATTTGATTCCTGCCGCAGTCCGACTCCTTGAACCTTTTTGAGACCTTTGTTTTCAATTAATTTCATTTTTGTAGTATTTTTATGATTTATTTAATCAATTATTATTTATTATTAAACAATTTGTTTGAATTCATTTATTAATATGTAAGTTTTCCTTTAATATGCCATTCTGCCATTTTTTTAAAGGGAGTATGAATGTCAATTTTCCACAATTTTCTCTCCAAACAGCCAATGAACTACTCCAATCCGATGTACGCGAAGATGTACCTCGATGGTCAGAACTGTCGCAAACCAGTCATCAACATTGACGAAAGGAGAGAGCTACTCCCAAAGAACTTGAAACTTGAGGGGACGATTCGAGAAACCGCCGCATAGCCTGACTACACTTTGTACTCTTTTTTTACTTAAATGTACAAAATGTATAAAACACAAGCAAAACAAAAAAATTTCTATTTCCTATCAGGTTCCAGATATCTTGTTTATATTTGGTTTCTTGGCACCATCAGCATTGCGCCTTCATGTCTGTTGCAATATTTGGAGTCATACTTGTCCGTTTAATTTTTTAGCATTTTTGTTGAACTGCATTTGTGATATACAACTGCTCATTTGCACATTGTGGACCGTTAACAAAACTACAATAGTTAAATTTTTTTTTTTATTTCTTCCTAAGTTTAAAGTACATTGCCTTGGGGCATCATGACAGCTTTGCCTTTTTACTTTCTAGTGTTTACTTCACATTAGTCTGTGAAAGTTTTAATTTCTGTTATAGTATTAACCTCATTTATCATTTAATTATGCTAGAAATGCCATACTTGTGCCATTATAAGAGTTTTTGTTATATTTATGTAACATTTTCTTTTTTATTTCCTCCCCACCGCTTTCTTCCACAACATAGGGCTACACAAGTCAACCACTTGACTTCAGTCAGTTCTCATTGAAGATATGAGTTTAAATCTATCCAGTGTTGTTAACTTTTGCTTCATGATGTGGTTTTACATTTCCACCACCCAAAAATGCTGCAATTATAAACCATGTTTGTGAACCCCAACCATGTGGCATGCTGGGATAGCTCAGCACTGAATGGAATTATTGACAGAGTGCAGTCTGGTGTACGGCTTAACAGCATTCTTGCAGAGCTGAAGTCGGTTTGATGATCATTAAACTACAGTCTGGTAGTTTGAAAGAAGGCTTTGTAAAAAAAAATGCTACTTTTCTGCTACTTTGCCTACTTAAAACTACATTTGAGCTCAGTAATATAACTACACCGGCATCATCAAGCAGATTAAGGCTGACAAAATTGACTTCATCACTGTTAGACAATAGACTTAGGACAAGATATCACATATAGGTCACAAATCCTTCTCATGTCATGGATACCGGAGGAAATCAAACTTGCTGTTACATGGGAATTTTAGAGATTATGAATTAAATCATGTTACAGGTTACTTTCAGCTACTAAGATACAACAGATTTTATAATTTTGTATTTGATTTATATGTCGTTTGGCTGCTTGTATTTTGGAAAAAAGTGTATTAAATATAAGTACTTTTTTATATAAAAAGCAAATCAATATAAAATAAAGACATTTTATTTCCATTTCAAACAGGATTCCTGTTTCTCTCTAAACTTCACTTCATTAAATTCTAGCTTTTGGTTTGAGTGATGTCCTGCTTTGTACTTGGACAGGAGTGTCAGAAGCGGGACAGTTTGAGATATGAATCAGTAAGTTAAAGTTGAGGGGTTCAGGTCTCAATGTTGGTACGGCTCAACTTCTGCTGCGTTTTTTATGTTTCTCATTTTTTTGTGATTGATTTATGCAGGAGGTGAGGTTGATGGGGTTGTGAGTGACAGTTACGAAATATTTATCATCCTTTGCTGACATCAGCATGTCATGATAAGCATGATTAAATAGCACCAATCCAAATGATGATACAGAAACCACATTTGATTCCTGCCGCAGTCCGACTCCTTGAACCTTTTTGAGACCTTTGTTTTCAATTAATTTCATTTTTGTAGTATTTTTATGATTTATTTAATCAATTATTATTTATTATTAAACAATTTGTTTGAATTCATTTATTAATATGTAAGTTTTCCTTTAATATGCCATTCTGCCATTTTTTTAAAGGGAGTATGAATGTCAATTTTCCACAATTTTCTCTCCAAACAGCCAATGAACTACTCCAATCCGATGTACGCGAAGATGTACCTCGATGGTCAGAACTGTCGCAAACCAGTCATCAACATTGACGAAAGGAGAGAGCTACTCCCAAAGAACTTGAAACTTGAGGGGACGATTCGAGAAACCGCCGCATAGCCTGACTACACTTTGTACTCTTTTTTTACTTAAATGTACAAAATGTATAAAACACAAGCAAAACAAAAAAATTTCTATTTCCTATCAGGTTCCAGATATCTTGTTTATATTTGGTTTCTTGGCACCATCAGCATTGCGCCTTCATGTCTGTTGCAATATTTGGAGTCATACTTGTCCGTTTAATTTTTTAGCATTTTTGTTGAACTGCATTTGTGATATACAACTGCTCATTTGCACATTGTGGACCGTTAACAAAACTACAATAGTTAAATTTTTTTTTTTATTTCTTCCTAAGTTTAAAGTACATTGCCTTGGGGCATCATGACAGCTTTGCCTTTTTACTTTCTAGTGTTTACTTCACATTAGTCTGTGAAAGTTTTAATTTCTGTTATAGTATTAACCTCATTTATCATTTAATTATGCTAGAAATGCCATACTTGTGCCATTATAAGAGTTTTTGTTATATTTATGTAACATTTTCTTTTTTATTTCCTCCCCACCGCTTTCTTCCACAACATAGGGCTACACAAGTCAACCACTTGACTTCAGTCAGTTCTCATTGAAGATATGAGTTTAAATCTATCCAGTGTTGTTAACTTTTGCTTCATGATGTGGTTTTACATTTCCACCACCCAAAAATGCTGCAATTATAAACCATGTTTGTGAACCCCAACCATGTGGCATGCTGGGATAGCTCAGCACTGAATGGAATTATTGACAGAGTGCAGTCTGGTGTACGGCTTAACAGCATTCTTGCAGAGCTGAAGTCGGTTTGATGATCATTAAACTACAGTCTGGTAGTTTGAAAGAAGGCTTTGTAAAAAAAAATGCTACTTTTCTGCTACTTTGCCTACTTAAAACTACATTTGAGCTCAGTAATATAACTACACCGGCATCATCAAGCAGATTAAGGCTGACAAAATTGACTTCATCACTGTTAGACAATAGACTTAGGACAAGATATCACATATAGGTCACAAATCCTTCTCATGTCATGGATACCGGAGGAAATCAAACTTGCTGTTACATGGGAATTTTAGAGATTATGAATTAAATCATGTTACAGGTTACTTTCAGCTACTAAGATACAACAGATTTTATAATTTTGTATTTGATTTATATGTCGTTTGGCTGCTTGTATTTTGGAAAAAAGTGTATTAAATATAAGTACTTTTTTATATAAAAAGCAAATCAATATAAAATAAAGACATTTTATTTCCATTTCAAACAGGATTCCTGTTTCTCTCTAAACTTCACTTCATTAAATTCTAGCTTTTGGTTTGAGTGATGTCCTGCTTTGTACTTGGACAGGAGTGTCAGAAGCGGGACAGTTTGAGATATGAATCAGTAAGTTAAAGTTGAGGGGTTCAGGTCTCAATGTTGGCAGCAGTGAAATCAGCAAGGATAATATTCACTCTTGCTATCAGTGTTAACAGTTATAATTCAAAGCTGTTTTAAACCTGCTTGCAAAGACTGTAGTGAATACATTTCCACCGATACATGTTCTGGGTGGTCATTACAAAACCCTTTCCATGTCTAATTTATTCCGACCTGCATGTGGCATTGATGCTGTACAAAATTCCCACAATTTTTTGTACAGGATTGTGTTTAAGACAATAAGTCTTAAACTAGGGTGACACTATCAGGGTAAAATCCTTTAAAACCTTTTAACGAGGTAACAAAGCCAATTCCAAATGAAGGCACGATTCCATGCTGAGTGGAAAGCTCCTTCATTTCCTATTTCCCATGGGTACATTCCTTGAATTACAATGATTCTTGATCATTTACATGGGTTTAATGTACTTCCGTTGAATACACAGTCACATCTGCAAAATGTGTGTGTGTTTTGGTGGTTAGTTTCTGTAACTCAGAAATATTCTTACATGTGAATGTTTTATGAACAGGTTCAGAACCTTGCATCCACAAACAATTTTGTAATGGCAGCACTGATTACTCTATGTATAGCATGTTGCGTATTGTAACAAGACTATGGGGGAAGATCCCTTAAAGGAACACTCCACTATTTTTGAAAAAGGCTCATTTTCCAACTCCCCTAGATTCGTTTTCGAATCCATTCAGCCGATCTCCGGGTCTGGCGGTAGCACTTTTAGCTGTAGCTTAGCATAGATCATTGAATCTGATTAGACTGTTAGCATCTCGCTCAAAAATGACAGATTTTCTATATTTTTCCTATTTAAAATTTGACTCTTCTGTAGTTACATCGTGTACTAAGACCAACGGAAAATGAATTGTTTTGAGCGAGATGCTAACGGTCTAATCAGATTCAATTATCTATGCTAAGCTACAACTAAAAGTGCTACCGCCAGACCCGGAGATCGGCTGAATGGATTCGAAAACGAATCTAGGGGAGTTGGAAAATGAGCCT